GACTTACAGGGTGACACTTGAGTTGCTGGAGTGAGGGCCTCGGTGAGGCTCTCTCCCCTGCCGGTGGTATCCATTGTTCCTCTGTTGAGCCCTCCCACCTCCCAGTGCATGGACGCAGCACCGCCATAGCAGAGACATCATCAAACTGGATAACAGAGGAATCCCTGAAACTCTGCCTCCTCCAACTCGGGGCCCCACTCAAGCCACATCCAGGTGTATCCTCAGCGAATCAGGTGTTCCTTGCTAAGCCAACTCCAAGACTCACACTGGTGGCAGCTGGTCTCAGTTTCTGGTGTAGCCTTTTGAGGCAACTATAAGCACAGAATCTGTGGATTGCTTGCTGAATTTCAACAGGGGGTCCCAGAGGGGCACAGGCTTGGGCTAAATTTGGCCTGCAGCTGAACCCCTCTCAGGACTGTGCCATTGGATACTTAACTCACAAAGTTGTACTAATAAGCCTGGGAGACTTAGAAGCTTTGCTTAGTACACAGAAACAGACACAGAAAGGCAGCCAAAATGGGAAGACAAAGAAGCAGAAACCATATGAGGGAACAAAATAGAGATCCAGAAATAATGGAGTCAAGCAATCTAACAGATGCTGAGTTCAAAATACTGTTCTATGAACTTTTGGAAAGTGTTGATGAATTCAGTGAGAACTTCAACAAAAAGATAAAAAAAAAAAAACGTAAAAATGGAAATGGAAATTATAAAAGGGAACCAGTCAGAAATGAAGAACACATTATCTGAGATGAGAAGTATATTAAATGGAATAAACAAAAGAATAAATGAAGTGAGTAAAGAAGAGGATCAAATGACTTATATAAAGGATGGGAAAGCCAAGGACAATCAATCAGAATGGCAAGAAAAAAGAAGTTAAGACTATATAATAATCTAAGGAGCCTATGGGACACTACTAAAGATAAAAATATCTGTGTCATTGGGGTACCTGAGAGAAAACAAGATGTTGAACAGCTATTTGAAGAAATAATGATGGAGAACTTCTCTAATCTAGTGAATGAAATGGACATAAAACCCCAGGATGCTCAGAGAATCCCAAAAACCAGGAACCCAAAGAGGCCCACATCAAGACACAACATAATTAAAATGCCAAAGTTTAAATACAAAAAGAGAATATTAAAAGCAGCAAGAGATAAGTAGATAGTTACCTCCAAGGGAGCACCCATAAAACTGGCAGCTGTTTTCTCAAAAGAAACTATGCAGGACAGAAAGGCTTGGCACAAAATATTCAACGTGATGAAAACCCAGGATCTACAACCAAGAATACTTTATCCAGCAAAGCTATCATTTATAATTAAAGGACAGATAAAGAGCTTCCCAGACAAAAATAAGCTAAAAGAATTTATTACCGCCAAGCCAGTATTACAAGAAATATTGGAGGGACTTCTTTAAGAAGAAAAAACATATATCAAAAACAAGAATAAAGAATGGTAACAGCTACATTCCTATCAACAAATACCTCAAATGGAAAAGAATTAAGTGCTCCAACCAAAAGATAGAGTGGTTGAATGGATATGAAAACAAGATCCCTACATTTGCTGCCTTCAAGAGACTCACTTCATATTAAAAGACACACACAGATTGAAAGGAAGGGGATGGAAAAAGATATTGCCTTGACAGACCGAGAGGGTATTGCGTTGAATGAAATGAGTTGGATAGAGAAAGACAAATATCGCATGATTTCACATATATGTGGAATCTAAAGAACAAAATCATCAACAACAACAAAAACGGAAACAAACTCCTCAAAACAGAGAATATTTTGAGGGCTACTAGATGGGAAGGGGGTTAGGGCAAAGGAATTGAAAGGTACAAGTGGATGGTTGCAGAGTAGACATGGGGATATAGAGTATAGCATGAGGAAGATGGTTAATGTTAGAATGAATATGTGGTGGGGAGGGGTGCTAGATGTGGTGGGGTAAGTGTTTCTCAAGTTGTGTGGATCTCTGATCAATATGCTGTACAGCTGAGGCTGGTGTGTTACATACCAACTATAATTGACAAAAAACCTCATTGAATTATACAATGTAAATGCAGGCAACTAGTTGTCTATTATATTTCAATAAAGACAAAAAAACATAAAATAGCATTCGGGTACATACAACATTATACTTTTAGGATAAAAATATATATGTTCACTAGTATAAATAATGCTACATACACCATTCCCCTCCTTTTGAATTATTTATGCAGAATACATTATGAGGCCTATCAGTTCAAAAAATACCTCTTCTCCTGCTGTCATACTTAATGCAAAAAAGAGTATTAATTTTTTTATAGCTAACATATTATTTTCTTAATAAGATTTAATTTCTACATCTTCAACTAATTTTGTTTTGCTAAATTTACAATTTTTTAAACAAAGTTTGTTTCAAAAAAGATGGTAGAGGTCTAATTGATGCTAAAGCAACTGGACATCCATTGGCAATAAATAGATAGATAGATGATAGATAGATAGATAGATAGATAGATAGATAGATAGATAGATAGATAGATAAATTCTGACCTAAGTCTCACATGTTACACAAAAATTAACTCAAAATGGGCCAAAAGTTAAATGTTAAATGTGAAACTATAAAGCTTTTAAGAAAATAGGAGAAAATCGTCAAGATCTAGGGCTAGGAATTCTTAGGCTTGTCACCAAAAATATCACTCATTAAAAGAAAAATTGATAAACTGGACATCAAAATTGATAATTCTCTCTGTGAAAGACGCTGAAAAGGCAAGTTACATAGTGGAAGAAAATATTTTCAAAATACATATCTGACAAAGAACTAGTGTTTAGAATATATAAAGAACTTTCAGAATTCAACAGTTAAACAGGGAGAAGTTGATAAAAGAGTACAAAACTTTCAGTTACAAAATAAAGTTTGGACCCAATACATAACATGGCATCTACAGTTGATAATACTATTTTATCATGAAATCTACTAAGAGTAGAATTTAAATGTTCTCAGAAAAATAAAAGTGGTAAACATGTGATGGATGTGTTAACATGATGTGGGGGGAAACTTTCACAATGAATATCACATCATCACGTTGATTTAAGATCTGTGCAATTAATCTACTTGTGATTATGTAAAACATCAGCCAATATTTGCTAGATCAGGTGGGTAGATACCTGTTCTACCGTTGCATGATTTAACCTTGCAGTTAGGAAAAGTTTTAGATCTAATTTAAACTTTTATATACACTTATTTGGGAAGAAGATACTTATTACAATAGCATCTCCAACTCATATGTGTTTGAAACGGGTTTCAATGTACCATTCCAGTTACTGAAAAAGTGAACAAGAGGTAAGCTGCTAATATGTTAACAGGATATTTGCAATTCTTTTAAACTTAGAACTAAATTAATATAGATAATTCCTGCATTAGCAGGACTTATACTAATTTTGTCAATATTATTTTTAAATAAAGTGATTCGTTTAAATTTTTATTGCATAAGAAATCTGTGATATGAAAATGGTATTTCGATTCCAGCTAGGGAGATAAGCGAATTGTGAGAGAGGAAGAGACAGAACTTAGAGTGTCCTTGGTCCTCGTCTCTGAAAGCCTAGCGTTTGCTCCTTGGGCGAGAGGGCGCCCCCTTGAGGCCTTAGCGGTTCCTCACTGGTTGACCCACTGGAGCCAGACTGTTAGCCTCTTGCTCGCACCCTCCGTGGCGTGTGAACATTTTACTTGTTTATTCAACAAATGAGACTTAAGCCACGCTGTGTGCCAAGGACTCTTGCCAAGCTGTTAATAAACGCTGTTGCAACGCAGAAAACTGGGGAAGAACAGGGACCCCAAATAGGACCCAAAGCGCATCACGATCCGCAATCAGCTGTCCGCCCGCTGCTCCTCCGAGGGGCGCGGCCGGGCGCGCGGCCGGGGCGGGGCCTGTCGCCCGGGAAACTGTCGTTCCCGCAGCCACGCGCTTCCAGGCCCTAGTTTCGGTTGAGCGGCCGCTAGTGAAAACCCCGGGCAGTTGTCGCCCCGGACAGGAGTGGGGAAAGAGGGGTCTCTGAGGCTCGGGGGCACCGAGGTCCCTGAGACAGCGTGGCCGCGGCTATGCTAGATCCCGGGCAGTAACGAATCTTCGGTTGCTTTTTGCTTCCTCGGGCTTCAAGAACAATGGATATGGTTCTGGTGGGGTGTGCGCAGACCTGATGGTGCCTGGGTCCAGGTGGGAGATCGACCGTCCCGGTCCCCGGTACCCGCCCTAATCTCCTTCAGATCAAGGTCTGTGTCCCCCCCTAGTGGGAGAGAAGCAGAAGTGCGGGCAACCGCTGCCGACCTCGCTCTGGGCCTTGACCTGGTCTGGCCAAGCAGAGTCAGTTACTGGAAACCGTGGCAGGGCTCAAACTCCCACAATAGTAGCTTCTGGAGGTCACTCATCGTTAGCGCCTGTTTCTGTCTTGGAAGTTGATTATAAAGTAGATTCGAAAGGATTCCTGCTCAGGCCTGAAAGTCACCTTTGCAGATGTCAGTCTGTTGTTGCCCAGCTAAAGTCCACAATAGCTTGACCTGATGAATACCCTGGATGTGAGTAACACTGATTAATCAAGTGTCTTGCCTACTTATTGCATCCCCTCACTACTTCTTTTCAAGGAGTTCTCACCGACTCAAAATCAGTGAATTTTCACAGTGAATTCTAGTAGATATGACTTTGGAGTGCCCCTTAAGGTCCAGTTCCTCAAGGGTAGTCCTGGAAATCTCACCACTTTTTTGCTTCCTCCAGAGATGGAAGCCCTGACTGTAGCCAGAGCCAACTAATGCCAGGTTCTTGGGTCTCAATATCATAGAAATGAGCACTGTACAGGATATGAAGTTCAGCAAGCAAAACTTTATTGAAAGCTAGTGGGATTCTACTCTAGACCTCTCAGTAGCTACTAAGACATCAAGAGACAGAGGAGCTATGATTCTATTGACTAAACTGAGAGTCATTGAAATCATGAGACGTTTGTGACCCAATACTCACCCTCCCCCCATTATATTTCAGGGCTTTTGAAGAATGTGCAGAATGTGGAAGTGCTACACCCCTGAGAACAGAAATGTTTGGCTCCTTGCCTAAGGATAGAGGCAGGTGAGGACTCGGGTCATATATTAAAGGGTGCTCTGGGACTGTTTCACAGGTGCCCTGGAAAGGCTGGTGCAGGTGGGTATGGGTTGGGGATGAGCAGAGAAGGGAAGCTGCTTTGTTTGACATGATGTGGAAGAAGTAAGAGACTTAGAGAAGAAACAGAAGAGGTTCTAAAGCTGTGCCATCTAATACTGTAGCCACAAACTGCATGGGGCTATTGTGCCCTTGTAATGTAACTAGTCAGAAATAAGCTGTACTATAAATGTAAAATGCACACCAGATTTTAAAGTCTCACTTTTTAATGTAAAGTATTTTATTTTTATATTGATTACATGTTGAAATGGCATTTTAGATATATTGAGTTAAATAAAATATATGAAAATTAATTTTTTAAAATTTATTTTTTATGGTGACAGTGGTTAATGAAATCCAATAAGTTTCAGCTGTACATTTTAACAGTAAGGCAAGTATATATTTACATTGTGTGTTTGCCTCCCATAGTTAGATTTCTTTCTGTCACCACATATTTGACTCCTTTTACCCCATCTACCTCCCCCTCCCCCCTACTCTCTGGTATATTAAAATTAATTTTACCTGTTCATTTTTACTTTTTAATGTGACTACAAGAAAAATTTAAGTTGTACATGTGGTTCATATTATCTCTCTTTGGGAAAGCACTGTTCTAAAGATGTTGGAGTGTTGGAAACTACTTGAAATTTTCCGAAAAACTGCTTCTCCCCCTTCACACAGCCCTCCATCTCCCAGAAGGTACCCTTACTTACCCTTACTGTATCATCTATATCACCCACAACCTTACTAACCTAGCTAACCTCAAACCAAAGGCCTTAGCATTTTAAGAACTGCAGCCTAACCACAAGCAGTCTAGAACTGCAGAATGACGGTCACTTGTACAGGAGAGCCTCAAACCTGTGTCAGCTGTTGCTACTAGAACCAATTCAGTGCTGGCAAAACTGTTTCCCCTGATTTGACCGTCCAGTTTTGCAGAAATGAACTGCAGAGAAACTGCAGAGAAGGGAAGGAAGGAATAAGGAAAGGAGGATGGTCACCTCACCAACATTCACTCCAAGTTATTGTTACAAACTATGGGATTACAGCTGTCTTGCCTTGACTTCTTTTTGTCATTCACCTCACCTTAAAAAGTAATTAGCTTTGGTGAAGAAACTGGAAGATTCAGCCATTCCTTCTTCAAAGATTTCTTCTGCTCTCTCTCTCTTCTCCTGGGATTCCAAACACACTTCTGTTAGACTCTTTGATATTATCTCACAACTCTTCAATGCTCTTTTGTGTTTTCTTCACACTTTTTTCTCTTTGTATTTTAGTTTGGGTAATTTCTGTTGACATATCTGCAAGTTCACTGACACTTTCATTAGCTATATTGAGTGTACTGATTCTTCATCTCTGTTACCATGTTTTATATTTCTAGCATTTCTGTTTGACTTATATAGTTTTTATCTCCGCTAAAATTTTCCATTCATTCATTTATGTTACCCACTTTTTCTACTAGAACCTTTAGTATATATGAATCATATATTAATCAAAGTTATTTTAAATTCTCATAGTTCCTATATTTGGGTTATCTCTGAGTTGGATTCTGTCGATTGCTTTCTCTCTTGACAATGGGTTTTTCTTCTTTTTTTATGTATCTCATAATTTTTTATCAAATGCCAGGTATCTTGTGTATAATAGTAGAGATTAAGATAAAGAGAATGTGTGCCTCAAAATAAGTACGTTTCTTCTTCTGCTAGGTCAGTAATGTGGGTCTAATCAGTAGTTAAGCTGGGTTTAGGTTTTATTGTTCCACCTTTAGTACACCACTCATTTAAATTTCCTCTAGTGTTACCTTATGCTCAAGGCATGGGCTGGAGGACTGGAGGAATTTTCTCAATGCTTCCGTTCCACTATCAGCTTCTAGGCCTCCCTGTAAAACTTGCACCACAAAGAGGCCTTTCTCCATGCTTGCCTTTCCCCCTGCTTGTTGTTACCTTGTGCTTGCTCGCTCGGTAGTGGGACCCAGCAGACTTTCAGCCATCCCGTTCCAGCCTCTCTTAGGCAAGCTTCAAATGTTTAAACTTCAAGAGTGGGGCTTTCTCAGTTCCTCAGTCTTCCTGTGGCACATAAAATTCTGCCTTGTATCTTTGATGGATCTTGAGAAGATGAGTATCTCTTATAAGAGCATCCTGTAATTGTATTGGTTTGAGATCCTGGGCCCAAGACTTTTCATGTCTCTTCTTCCCCAGGGATAGAATTTGTTTGCTTGTCCTTTCCTACTCCTACCCTTATCCAGTATCAAAGGTCATTACCTGGGCCCTCAAGGCAACAGCTTGAGGCTATTATTCTCATATTCAAGTGTAAGAAAGGGTCTGGGCAGGACTTTTCTCTTTTCTATAGTGGGAACTTACTCCCCTTCAATAGGCCTGTCACCACCAAGGGAGGGTCTCTCTGGTCTCCTGCCTTGTCTCAAATCTTTCTCATATGCACTCAGCATAGAACAAAGAGAAGAGACTGAAAATGGGAGCAAGCTGTTTTGTCTGAGGCTCCCACGGGTTCTATATTCTCATGCTAGTCCACATATGGCCTTTAGCGATTCATTAAGAATTTTAGCTGAATTCTTACCACCTTGTATGGTGCTTGATGTATCTTTTTAAAGTGCTCACATCCTATCTCTCCTTGGTGGGGCCAGTCTTTCTCTGGATTTCAGGCTTCTTGATTGGTCTGCAACCCTTGCTAGAATGACCAACTATCCCAGTTTATCTGGGACTGAGGAGTTTCTCAGGACATAGGGCTTTTAGTTGTACTAAAGCCAGAAAAGTCCAGTTGGTTGCCCAAACCTCAGCTTTCTGATAGGTTCAAGAAAAGTTATTCTGCAATTTTTCTGGTTACGGTGAGAGCAATGTTCTCTCTACACTTCTACATCCTAGGCAGAAGCCAAATTACTGAAATATTTAAGCATGTTGAATCTGAACAAAAATGGTTATGGAGATAGTAAAAGCCTCTTGAGATAATAAAAAGATGGGAAACATTTGTTTCTTACTAAGGTGGAGGGGTTCTTATGAAAAAGCCTCCTAAAATAGACAAAAAGCAAAATGAGTAGTTTCTGCCACTCTTTTGTCTGCCAGCAGCAGATGTATCTGATTGCTTAAATGAACTCTAGCTGAAGAGTTGGATTCATGCCTATTCTTTTCTACAGCAGTACTCAACATTCAGCTAGCACCAGATTTGGACTTTTTTTTCCAACAGGTGAGAAACTTAGAGTGAATCTTTAAAAATGTTTGTGTGCTTTTGTGGAGGGAGATGAAGGCTATGTACAGCAAATGCATTCAACAACAAGAATATTAATGACCTTTGGGTAAATGTGTATGTGTATGTGCATGTAAATGTATATAATCTTGCTGTCAACCCGCTGGGGACATGTTTGATTTACGTTGCCATGAGTGGTACATCTGGTCTTGTGATTTTTGTTTCAGATATCACAGGAGCCAGGGGTGTCTGTGACCCCTACATCCAGCACTAATGACTATGAGGTAGGTAACCTCAGTGCAATGCTATTTATTTTGTGTAATGATGAAGGCTATCTTTTGCTCATTTATTCCTTTGAGTATCTTTAAATATCCAAGAGAAATAACGGCCTCTTATTGAGTTTGTAGGCTATATATATGACATCTTCCTATTAAATGGTCAGGATAATTTGATTAGTATAGTAAAAACAACACAGAAATAATAAGACTAGGAACATACATAATCCCAACAGCTGTGGAGTTTATATGGCCGTAGATAATAATAGCTAAGATATATAGTGTTTATCATGTGTCAAGCATTGTCCTAAGAGTTTTACATTCATTAACACATTGAATCCTTGCACATATAAACTTTATAATAACCCTATGACATTAGGTATTATTATTCACATATTCCAGATCAGGAAAATGAGGAATAAAGAGGTTTTGTAATGTGTTCAAGGTGACATGAATAACAAATGGTGGCATTGTGACTTGAGCCCATGCAGTCTTTTTTCAGAATTCTTTTAAGCACTATGACAATGATCAAAGACAGAGTAGAGGTAAAGATTTCAACCTGCAGGAAAGTGTATGAGAGTGGGAGTTGTGTACATGTGAAAAAGCTTTTAAAATAACATTTTGATTTTAGGTCATATACCAAATGAAGATGTAAAGAAAGCTAAAAGAGGACATGCTAAGGAAAAGAATTTAGAAAATGGTACAGTGATGCCTTATACTCACTACAGGTCAACAGAGAGTATGAATTACACAGACAAATGTGGTCAAATATTTGATGGAAATTTCATGTATAGCTCAGTAATGGTGGAAATGCTAAAACAGCAATAGCAACGACTTGCAGAATGATCCCTATTTCTGTATATAACATACTTGAATACTAACGATTTCAAAATCGAAGATTCCTCAGAAACCATTTGCCATACAGAAGAAATTGAGGCTGAAAAATTTTATCAGTTCCATTTATGATAAAGTGATTGAGAATAAAACCCAAGAATGATATGTATAAAGAACTTTGGTTCAAAGATGACAACATGGACATTATCAACTCATGAAGCAGTGAGATTCACAAATGAGTAAAAAATCCCACAATTTTCCAAACCGGTTTTTATGATCCAGAGGACACATGGGAGAGCAGGACAGTCAACAGGTATATCATTGTGGAGTCTGTTGGGAGGGATGCTGATTTTCTTGAAAGAGTGGGATGCTTCAAAGGCCAGCGATTGTTTTTTCTAGTCAGGTATTATTATAACAAAGTATGTTTATAACTATAGATGGGATGAAGTCTTTTAACCTAACCTGAAAGCAATCCTCTTTATACCTCCTGGGTATAAAGACTTTATGTAGCTCTTAAATGGCACCAGTATCATTGCATGTGAACATGATATTCTCACAAAGGCAAAACCTGATGGTAGTAATCCAGGAGTAAGGAGAGAATACTTAGATTGTGTTGAAAGTTATAATAGCGCAAAGTTCTGTGGGATGGTTTCTTAAAGCTAACTTTGACTATGGTCCAAAATGCTTGGAGCATTCTTAATTTAGTATAGTTTGTGGCCCTTAATGAAAGGATGCCATATTTGTTTTACTCATCCTCAGACAAGTGAAACAATCAATTTAATATAACAAGCTCAGCTGCATCCTCATAGTCTGGAATTTTCTAGTCAAGAGAATTGAATGAGAATGTGCTTTCGAAGGACCAATTCAGTTTTTAAGGTACTGTCAACAATGGGAAGAAAAGAGAACACTACTTTACTAGGTTATGCCTTTTTTAAAAAATAATTATTACTTTCTAAATTGAAGTGATCCTGCAGAAGACTGGGTTTGAGACATGGTGAAGGATACACTGGGAGTAAAGGACACAGAGAACATGGGGTTGATGGAGTTCAGTGAATGTGGCTTCTCAGGTCTCTTCGACTCATCTCAAGAGAAGTGTTCAGGCCAGTGATATTAAGGTTCTGTCTGCCCAGGATGGAGAGCTCTCCAAGCCTCATGTAACCCCAACTACATTACCCTGAAATTCCAGGAGATTAACTCATATGGTTACAAATATTGCCTTTCACAAGCCAAACTGTCTGGATCTAACCTTCAGGATCCAGGAATGATTCTTGCTAAGCCATCAGTACTGTCTTTTACATTGCCTGCAGTTGATATGATTAGGCATCATACACACAGTCCTATTGTGATGGTGTAAGAAAGAAGAAGCTGTGAGGGGCCTGTGAATTTAGCTCAATGCAATGGCAAAAGGTTTAGTAGGAACTGAGCAGAACAGGTCTGGCCAGTTCTTACCATACAAATGGAAAGGTTGGGTGTGTTCGTGACTACTGTCGTGATGCTTATGGGCATAACGAAACCCAGCTGCACATGTTATTGCCATAGCCTCAGTCAATAGCTTTCTGAAGATGAGGTGCTATTCCCAGACCTGGCTGTGGGAACCATTTGCTTGTCAGATACCTGTTTGGAACATCACAAGGCACAGGCAGCTACTGACTAGCTGCCAACGTCAGAAATTGTGATACTGTTATAATTGTTTTCTCACGAAGTAAAAGCGAGAGCTTGTATAGTACAATATGTTGGTACTGAAAACAAACAAAAAAAATGGCAAATATTACTGTTTTTTTGAAATTTACAGAAGAATTCAATCCCTAGAAAAAGTATTTTTACACAAACACAGGAAACAGGTGTCCACATCCCAGATTTCATTAATGCTTTTTGAGGATTTATGAGTAGGAATTTAAAAGTACAGTCTGTGCTGATCGGTTTAATAACATGCTCTTCAATCTTTCTCTTCATTGTCCGCCTTCCTACAAGGAAACTTTCTATATTTTAAAGTAGTTACAGATTTAAAACCAGTTGATGAATATTGCTTTCCCCAATAGCTGAAGGTTAATAAGAAGAGCAGGATCTTGTCACTACAACCAGCATTAGATATTTCATTTTATTGTATTTGGAGAGAGGCAAGCATCTTTGCCTCTTTTGAGTAAGAAGTTCAGACTGGTGGAAGGTAGAATTTCCCCCCTTTTCTTTTAACTTGGGGGAAAAAATTAAAGCAATAACTTTTCACATTGGCTACTTTTCTTGTTAAAAGTTTAAGATATTCGTTTTTTAATTTTTCAGGTATTTTTACATTGGGGATGAAGAACTAAGACTATAGATCAGACCAGATCTCTGACTTAGACTAAATTTTTCTTGTCTTAATTTTAAAGCTTATTTAATTTTGTGACCTAACTACACTAGGAACTAAAGTGAAGGGAGGAAGTTATGTCTTGGAATTTCACAACTTTTTGCACTTTTTACTTTGAGAGTTGTTTATAAGTAAGGGTGGTGGGATGATGGTGGACAGGATTAGTGCAATGAAATTTGACGTATATGCTTGAATGGTAAAAGGACAAGCAGTGATTTCATTATTCCTTAAAATATAAATATGTAATTTAATGATTACATTTGTGTAATCACCACCAAGATTAATGGAAAATTGCCAGCATTCCAGGACATATCTTCATATCACTTTTCAATTGTAGCCCTTCTCCTCCCCACAGGTGACCACTATCTTGACCTGTATAGTAATTCCTTTTTTTATATCAGTGTTCCTCAAAGTATGATGTGGCATGGGCATCATCTGGAAACTTGTTAGAAATGCAAATTCTTGGGCCCTTCTCCAGGTCTAATACCCTTACACATTTTTCTGTGGGATGCTTATTTGTGTGATTCAAAGCAGTGATTCTCAGACTTTAGCATGTATCAGAATGACCCAGATGGCCTATTCAAACACAGATGCTGGGCCCCTGCAGCTAGAGTTTCTGATGACCTCTTTCTGTTGTCTGTTTTATTCACTGATTCTAATTTTTTTATATGCTGGGTAAGTTTAACTCTGTTCTAGTCATTGCACTTGAAATGTTATTTTGTAGGAATAATTATGAGGCCTATAATGAGAATACTTTACTCCAAAGAGTATTTCATTTGCTTCTGCTAGGTACCTAGGGGGACTACCAGTCTGGACCAGTGTTCAGAGTTAGTGTTTCCTGGTGAACTCAAGGGATCCTCACTATTTTTTAATACTCTTCAGATTGTTCCAATTCTTGGTTACTTTCAGTCTGAGATTCTGGAACCCAGATTGTTATAGGGGAAGGTCTTCTCTCAGATTCCCCAACCATGTTGACTCAGAGTTTTATTTTCTATTCCATTCTGTCAAAAGTCTAACAAAATGGAGGTTCTAATTTTCTGGGATTAGCTGGTACTATCAGGGGAAAAGTGGCTTCAAGCCTGTTTACTTCTCTAAATCTATTGACTCTTTACTTTTGGCCTGATAATTACTTACTATTTTATCATCTCTTTGATGCTTTTAAAAAGATTATTTTAAAATATTTTATCCAGTTTTTTAGTTGTTTTCAGCTATAGGACTGATGCAAACAACCCAAACTATCATTACCAGAAAAGAGAAATCTGGAAAATAAATCACTAATGCACAGTATGTTTTTAAAATACTGGTTGTTTTTTTTTTTTCTAAAACATTAAAAAAATCCATGGATGTTTATTATATCCTTGAAAAAAACTTCTGTTTTTAGCTTACAACTTTACACAGACATGGGACATTCAAGAGGGTTTTGGTACAAAACCTCTCCTTGTGAAAAGATTCCCAGTGTTGCATATTTATGACCTTTATCCACTCCAAAGTGCTTTGATATTTACTGGTGGATGTCAAGGAATGCTTTCCACAACTTCAGAAAGCCTCACAAAATGCAGAGATGTGCCTCGTACGGAATCTATTTCACAGTTCGTGGCACTTTCTATGAAGTTTAATTTTTCCATAGCTTTAATCAGTCTGGAAACATCAAACTAAGAATCATAGATGACTTGCACTCTTATCCCTAAGAAGGTTTCTGTCTGAGATAGCATATGGAATGCCCCAAACTTTATTTACTGTCAAGTTCTAAGCATTTGTTGGATAGTATTTTAATCACCACTTCCCTCTGCTCCACAGAAGTATATTGCATCATCATTTTTTCCTGTTTGACTTCTGTGTCAGGTTGATCCCTTGAGGTAGGCAAGATTCTCAAAGAGAAAATATCTCTTCTCAAACCTGTTCCTGACAACACATTTTATTTTTTTGGACAAGAATGAGTCCATTATATTTACCTTTATTTTTTGAAGGAGATTGGAAATAGAAATACACTACTACTACACATGTCCATTGGAAGGTAAATAGTAGGTTTTCCAGAGGTCAGAGGTTGTCAGGTATTTGGTAAGATACCTCATCTTGAATACTCTAATTAGTGCTTGACAATTAGGATTTGTAACTATCCCTGTAGGATAGCCTTGGGGTAGCAACGAATAATCTCTGATAGCTATTTCTGGAGTCCTTTAAGGATGCTTGATAGTCACCTGAAAGTGGGAAGGGTTGGTTATGGTGGAGCCCTTGACCCCTATAAGCTTGTGGGTCATGATAAATGTCAGAATTTAATTCTGATGGTAGTGAGCATTAGTTTATCTCAGTTAAAGGCTATAACCCAACTAGTTATAGCAGAGGATCCCTTAAAGCAGTATAGCGTGTGCCTTGATTTTCTTTCTGAGGTATGCTTGGAATCTGTGGGCTTGTGAGACTAGTGCAGGGTGGGTGTCTCAGGGGTGCTGAGTCTCCTAAGTCTGTATTTTTATCAGTTTAGAGAGTGATGCCATTGCTATCTAAACCAGTACACCTATATTCTAGCTCCTTGTTACTGAACATAAAGTTCATGTGTTGAACACAGACTTTCAAACTGTACCACAAAATGTAGAAACTCTCCAGTTCAGTTACAAATAACAGGGGTACTTTCCATATAACACAGAGGCTTTCCAACCACTGAAATTTTTGTTACAATGCAAATCACGACCCACCAACCTTTAGTTGATAACATTTGTCTAGACCAACATGTTTACCTTCAGACAAGCATTATGCCATTATTTATTATTTTCACATAACCCATCACTTAAAAATAGAAATATTGCTTTCACAAATAATAAACTTATTATAAATTTCCACTTCACTGAAAGATGTG